CATGACGATGATGAGATGAGTGATGATCTCACCATCGTCATGCATTTGACACTACTGTTATTTGCATTGATGATGATGAATATTGACTCTAAAAATCTACTCCGTTACTTATTTAACTATCGAACAGTTTACATACGGTTCTTCAGTGTATGGAGTTTTAATGTTTAAACTCATTCCTTTTGTAAATTTCATTGTTCCGACGTTTTATGAAGGAAGTTGAACATTAATTTTTCGTAAATCACCATCCATTCTGCGGAGGTCATTGACGTTATTTTGTAATTTATTATCTGAGGACACGAATTATTATATCTGAAAACATGTAAGCAGTTAACCAAAACGTACCGCTATACCTTCGTTAATTAAAACCAGACTGTAGTTAATATTTTATCTTTTTTTAAATGTCTACAGACAGTACATCACGGAGATCTTGTCTTTCATATAATTGATAAAGTTACCAGTTTTGTTGAATTTAAATTAACTAAAAGCTCATCAAAGTTAAGACGTTGATTTATTTTCGTGATGAATAAAACATTTTTTTATAATATTTGCTTAGTTCAATGTCAATGAAGTTAACATTAGCATTTTTTATAACTATTAGTCGGGGGAAAAAAAATTCAACAAACGGCCATGACTTTTGGTCGCGTCCAAATATACAGTCTTTTGAATAGGAGCTACTGGAGGGTTCACGTAACGATTCTAATGACAAAAAAATATTGCTCTGCCGTTTTGCATGGTGTGGGGGAAGGGGAGGGGGGGGGGTTGTTACACAATAAAATATACGAGCGCGTTAGATATTTCAAAGGGTTGTAACGTGAACCTCATAGTTGTTGTCTTTTTGCAGCCCCAGAAGTATGACCCCGTATATAGGACTCAAGTGATCGTAAGGTACTTCATCATCAGCCTATTAATGTCACTGCTGAGGCACAGGCCTTCCCTATGGATGGAATAGGGAGATTGGGTCACCACGCGGGCCCAGTGCGGATTGGTGGGTGCTAACGACTGCAGATGCAGCTGGGACCAACGGCTTAACGTGCCTTCCAAAGCACGGAGGAGCTCGAGATAGAAGCCATCGAGTTCCTCAGGATGTCTTCTAACCTATATTTAATACTTTTAAAACTATAATTCTGACACACCAATTAGTCTAGTAAAGTCTCAAAGTAAACTCTGTAAGGTTTGTGCTATCGTATACTAAGGTAACGGATAGAATTAAGTTAATATTATGACATAATAGGTATGAAAGAAGTAGGTACATTTTTGTATAATTTATTATATTAATTTTATTCAAACGTAATTTTAAAAGTAATGTATAAAGAATTTGTAATATGGAAATTCAACAACTAAACTTATGCATGAAAATAAGTTTTAAGTATGTAATATTAAGTTACTTATATTTTCCATTTGAATATAAGTAAGTACTAAAGGATGTCCGCCACATCATAAGTCAAACACTCGTGTACTTATGTTTTTAAATACAAACACGGGCACCTTCGTATTTCTCACAATGGGACATAACTCCTTTTAAGACCTCGTAAACAAACGCTTACTTTGAAAAGGAACATATCTGCGGGCGTAACTTAAAAAAATATACACTCCTGGACTCTTGAATCGAGCCACCTTACATTCCCGGGCCTAAAAGTCCAATACACAAAAAATATACAATATAACAAAAATGTTTTTATGCATTTTTAATGCTGGCATATTTCATCGTCTTTCCCGTATGTATTATTCCAAATTTGAATTTTAGAATTTAAAATAAAGAACAAAAGCCGAGCTTGGTCACTGATTTGAAAAAAATAATGACTGTTGAAAGTTGCTTTTGAAGCAATTTAATGTCGATTTGGTTTGAATTTTCGCAATTGTTGTAAACTAAAGTTTAGTTTAGTTATTTTTCTATAATTTGAACCGTTTTTAGCTATAAAATTATGGATACTTCACCTGAAGTAGCCGCACAAGCTGTAGCACTTCTTCAATCTGGGCTAAGTCAGCGAGATGTGAGTTCACAACTTCACATAAGTCGTTTCGCTGTTCAAAGAGTATACCACCGATACCTGGAGACTGGCGGCTTCATTTGGCGAACAGGAGTACCTCGTTACCGAGTGACAACGGCGAGACAAGATCAATACATTGTCACTACTAGCTTACGAAATCGACGCCTTCACTCTGTTCCGATACAAGAACAGCTCAGCGACTTTCACGGAGTGGCTGTATGTACTCGGACCGTTAGAAGGCGACTCAATGAACGTGGTTTAATGCCCCATAAGCCAGCCAATGGACCCAAATTGACACGAGCACACCGAATAGCCCGTCTAGAGTTTGCGCGCGAACATCTAAATTGGACTCGACATCAATGGAGCCAGGTTCTCTTCACAGATGAGTCCAAGATAATGCTATAAGGTAATGACGGTAGGAGTAAGGTGTAGCGAAGACAGAACGAGCGTTTCGCGCAATGCTGTATAGACGAGAAAGTGAGTTATGGTGGAGGATCATGGACAGTCTGGGGAGTCTGGGGAGGAATCTCTATGGAAGGCAAAACTGAGCTAGAGGTAGTGACGGGACCACGACTGCCGCCCCTAGATGGCAATAGATACATTCGCCAATGTTTAGAGAACCACGTGATGCCATATGCTGGATTTATTGGCCAAGATTTCGTTTTAATGCATGATAATGCAAGGGCCCATACTGCGGGAATCATCAGGGAGTATTTAAATGACATTGGTTTCACTGTTATGAGATGGCTAGCGCGAAGTCTTGATATGAATCCTATAGAGCATCTATGGGTCTGCTGAAGAGGCGTGTTCGAGCTCATCATCCTGCCCCGCAAACCATGCAGGAGCTCAAAAATGTAATTTTGGAAGAATGGGAGGACATTCCTCAACATGTCATAACGACATTGATTAATTCTATGCCAAACCGTATGAGAGCTGTCATAAATGTACTGGGAAGCAATACAAGTTACTAAATAAACATTTCTTTTCATGTAAAAAATGTTTTTATTTAAAAATCGATTAGATTTTTTTCCTTGAAAAAAGCAAATATGGACTTGTTTTAACGTAACTCGACTTTTTTAATAAACTGTAGTTCAAATTTAGAACAGTGGCTAAATAAATGATGAGTATACCAGCTCCAAAACTGCATCAAAACATTTTCCTTCTACATACATCTTTTATAAGTTACAGTACTCCAAACCAAAAAAATCAAGGTGGCTCGATTTAGGTGTCCGGGAGTGTATATTATATTTTTTCTTTATTTAGGATTAACTGTGCCCCGCACAGACACGATAATTTAAGGAAAACCTGCTAGATAATATTATTTACAAAAAAACATTACCGTTAAAAAGTGATGGTGAGTCAACCTTTAAAGATCGCCATAAGGATAGCTGTCGCGGTTTTTTATTTTACAACTCTTAAAGGAAAATGTTTCTATCATTCATGATTTTTTGGTAACTTTGCATATAGGCTTTCTCGATTAGTAATGGTTTATTTAACATAGAACATTTCTTACAATTAGAATCATTTGTTTCCGAGATTAGTGCGTTACAAACAAACGAACTCCTCAGTTTTCAATAGAAGTAGGTATAAGTAAAAACCCATTACTTTCTGATTATACTATAGTTGACTCTGTCCTATAGTTATTAATTCGGATAAGTTTAGAACAAGATGAGATTTTCTTATGTTATTAGAAATTCAGCACGATCTTTTAAGCATAATATGTTGCAAACTTATTAGTAAAATTACAGGGTATTTCAACAATTCTATCAAGAAAATCACATTTGCATACAATATGCCGCTGGTATGCGCGTCTCTGAGTAAAAACTTCACGTGTCCACGCATTGTCTTCAATGTGTACAATTATTGAATAGTCGTATTCACGGATAAAGGAGCCCTATGTTTCGAATGCTAAGCAACTTCAGTAGAGGCGATTTCTTTCTTTGTCGCACTATCCGCAACTTGAACACTTTGCAGTTACGTGTTACTTTCCTTTTCTCGTATAACCCGGAGTCCTTTAAAAGAGGTTCGAAGAAGCAACTTGCAGGCCGGCAATGTTAACATGGCTGGTATAGCAGGTAAAACTGCTGCTCTCCGCGTCTGTATTTAGGTGTCATTTGCTAGAAACAATATTTATATAAGACACGGAAAACATTTTTCATAATGAGTTATCTATGCTTTGGTATTAATCTCTTGGTTAAGCACTAGTCTTTTCAGATTGGGTGAGCGTGATGGGTTATGGTCCAATCGCCATTATGAGACTGTGAGAAATACACAGCATGAAGTCTGATCTAACAAAAAGTTAATCGAATCAAGGACTCCGAGTTTATGCACTCATATATAATTTTAATGGAAAATACAGCTCTCAATAAATTACCAATGACGTCTCGTTGAATTCAAACAACTGTCTAGTTAATGAACATCAATGACTAAGGTTTTCCCCGTGTCGGTTGATTCTAATGAAAGCAATTAATGTTTAGTAAACAAGCTCAAATCTAGGCCACAACATTACTCACTTCGGCCCGTCATGCTTATGATGCGAAATCGAAGACAAAATAATGGTTTAAAATATTAAAAATATGTCCCCCTTTTAGGAATAAACTAATGAAACAGTCTATATTTATGTAGCGTTAGGTCTCTGTACTTAAACTCGATGGCGCAAGTGGTTAGTAATTCCTGATGTTTGTTACTAAATTACAGTGAAAGTACTAAACGCAGATTTAAATCGCATGCAGTTAAGCATTATACCCTGGATAAACACAAGATTATTCACCCCAGAGAAAATCGAAATGGAAAAAACAAGGAATTATCCTAAAGATTTAGATAAAACTGCTGCAGTCTGAAAGATTTGCAAGACAGCATTTGTTAGGGAAGTAGGATTCAAGTCAGGTCGGTGAGGTCTAATGCTACTGAATCCCAACTCTCTCTTAACATTAAGTGGAGTGAATCTCACAGGTCTTCGCATTTATTGTATATATAGTATGGTGATTTAAAAGGTTTGTTTTCGTTTTGTAGGTGTGGCAGAAGCGACAGCAGGCGGTGTGCGTGCGACACGCGTTCAAGCACTACGGCTCCAAGAAACGGCCTAACCATGTGCTCAGCAACTTGAACATGACAGTTTCCAAAGGCATGATGTGAGTACTCTCCTTCAATAACCGTATTTTTATCTTTGACTAGAGGACCCGACAGACATTTCTCTGTTCGAAAAAATATTAAAAAAAAATCTTGTACTTCAAATACAATATTCTAATCTTTTCCTATATCAACTAGTGGGCTCACACTTAAAATTACAAACCCGACTTTACTACTTCCAATTTTATTTTCGCGATCAAATACAACGTATGTTATTCGTCAAGGACCCTGGCTCCATACCAAAAATCTTCAGAATCGATACGACGGTTCTTGCGTTAAACCTCAACAGATAGACAGAGCAAGTCACACAGACAGCTTTTGTCTGTCTGTAAAGAATACTTTCGCATTTATAATACTAACAAGCAAGTGACCTGCTCTCGCTGTATATACATAATATCCGTGAAAATATATCTAATTGATGAAAACTGCATCGAAATCCGTTGCGTAGTTTAGAAGTAGTAAGCGGATAATATACAGACAGAGCGTTGAAATGCCTAAATTTTAATGTTTACCCTATCATCATATATCTTATATATTAATGTATGTATTAGCAAATGTATAATAAAAGAGTAATTTGTCGCATATGCAATTAAATAGGTAATGCAATGACATACACAGAAGTCAAATATAAATATACTTAATATTAATGACTGTAACCACAATCCCTTGTTTCATAATTGCATGCGGTTTTACACCAGCTAAACAGTAGATGAGTCATAGCACGATATTTAAGAGTAGCTTTCTCTACGTTCGTTCTATTATAACTGCTGAATATTTCACTACATCCAATCTAAATTATCAGTGAGCAAACGATAAAAAAAATTAAATAAAGGTTTTCATAGCAACAAAAATATGAACTAAGTATTGCTTCTAACATGACATTCTGAGTTGAATGGAAATTTGCGTCTTGGTCCATTGTTCCCAATTTCCTGTGGCATCCATAGGGGAGGCTTGTGCTCAAGCAGTAGGTATTTTAATAGGTTGATGATGATGACAAATTAGCTGAAGTAAAAAGTGTTGAATTAAAACAACTCAGCATACTTAGCTGTTCAATAATAATACTTGGGTTCTTTAATATACAACTAGCTTATGTATTATAATTATAACGACGAAGTATTTTATAAATACTTTGCTATTTGTTTAGTTTTCCGTGCTTACATACATCGTGTTTTTCTATGAAATATTATTCTGTGTTATGTTTAAAGTGCGACATGGTTGAAAGGTCAGTGACCGTATACTCAAACATTTCTCATGAATAAGGAAGTTATAACATCTTACGCCGCATACAGACACACGTGAAAGATAAAGCGCATATCATAGTATATACGTAGTTAAAAGTTTTGTACGGATAGGTACACTAACGAACTATAGAGACTAATTTATTGTCAATGTCAACTCTTAGACAGAAGATCGCATGTCAGGAATGCACAATTGCTTATCTAACTGCTGCGGTTATCCGCAGATACCCTTGATCGACCGCTGGTGACCTTTGATCATCATCACGACTTGGGGAATAACTTACTGATACTTAGGTTTAGTGCTTAGGATAGGTAGAACAGGAGTTTGCGCCGGTATTGTAGAAAGAGCTGGCAACCTTTAAAGAGCCAAATAACAGTATTTTTCGGCTTGTGTCCTGTAGTTTCCATTTCTCCTCGGGGAAGATAGGGAAGACAATGCACGAGTGAAACTCTGGTATTGCTTGTGCCTATCTTTACGTTATGGAAACAGCTTATCATAAAGTAGGCTGATGCATGTTTTGCCAACCTTTTAACAAAATTAAACCAAAAAGAAAGCAAAAAGTCTAGTAAATTTTTCTTTCGATTTAAACACCTAGCAGTTAAATGTTTAAAAAATATATAAAAATAAAGCAGTGGAAGTGTAGTTTCTATATATCGCAATTTCTATGTATTCCCTTATGTATACCAGTCGGGGAAATAGCCTACTACGTAATGCGAGAGCAAGAACTCTAAGAAACTGATTGTAATATCTAGATAAATTTTATGCGATGCTCGTCCATAAAAGTGGACTTTGTATAAGTTACACATACGAGAGATTAATTAACGATTTTCTTACACGCAAAGGTCAATATCACGCAAAAAAAATACAACAAGAATGTTATTACCAAGGAAGTCTGGAAAATTCTAATTGTCTTCAACACCACCGCGTCATCACATCGGACGGACCAATAAGGAAACGTGGTGAGACTACGTCGTGACAATAAAACGTTCCTTATTAAGTTATAAATAAGGATGATATTGGCGGGTGTGACGTACAATAGACTATTTATGATGAGGTTAATAATCTTTGTTATTGTCTGCCTTCGTTGGATCGATGCCATGGCAGCCAGGTTAGATGATGGATTCCTGATAGAGTCGAGATAATGGGCCCGTGACTTTGTAATTTAGCGGACGAGGAACGGCCGATGCGGCGAAGAGGTAAAATCCTCGATTTAAACCAAACAATGGAGGACGTCTCACAGTAGAGGAAAGATGATTGTCTATGATACATATTATAGGTCTCGATCGAATGTCATTTAAATTTTATAGTGAGTACATAGATATGTCACTTCATGGGTGAATATCACTATTTGTGCTCGCGTTTTCGCAATCTTCTTCCAACAAAATGATACTGACGCATTTCATCCACGCTTTTCATAGTTATTAGTTTTTTTGTAACTGTCAAATGGCAGCAGTATATCCCTTTATTGCTCTATAGTGAATAAAAAGGAGAGACTGCTGTAAAAATTAGATATGCAGATAGGAATAGCCATAAGAAGGGAATATAAACAACTACAACTCTGGTACAAATACTCGTACCTATTCGTCATCCAAACATTTGGCCCATTCAAAACCAGGACCTTAGAGTAGGCGATATCTTAAAAACCGGTGTACATACCACTTTACATCTGAAACCGTCAGTATAAATTTCATTAATAAGAAAGCATTTCAAGTAAGAACTAGTAAATATGAGTAGGTATCATCATACATTTTGTGTGCTGACGTAACATCGACCGAATCCGTTAGCAATTAGAGCATAAAACTAAATGCATTTATCATTAATCAATATAGTATATATCTATACCGTTTGCGAGTGAATTCATATCATGTTAGGTACTTTTATTATTTTCACTCACAAAACGCAACTTTTTTTGCATTATGCTATTAGTTTTCTAAATAAACAAACGCTCATCGCCTATAACTCCTTCGACTTCTCTTTTCCAACCAAAAACACTTTGAGCTTTGTCATAGGTTCCCTTTAATGCATCATACTAAAATTCATCAAACTCATTTCAGCGGGTCATGCGTAATTAATCGCGTTTCCAACTGACAGGCAGTTTAGTATTCACAATATCATTATATAAAAACCTCTTTCAAGGGGCATGATATAAATACCTTAAAAAGATTATTGTGCTCTTGGTCTTGTGACCACAAAGCCTGAATCCGACATGTTAAGAATATTAAAAAATATATAAAATCGCGCTTCATTCATATACCATATACTACTATGCCCGTTGGATAGTTTTTTCATAAATGATAGCTTTTTCAGCTTGGTATTTATTTTAATCATCTCTGAAGAAACAGCAAAAGCACTGCATCTATTCGAAACACATTGTAAACTATAACTATTGCATCTTAGATAAACGATTGATCGACCGAAGGGAGATCATCATCATCTATGTATTACCCATTCCGGAGCTACTAAACGCAACGGTATTAAAATTTGGAAAATATTTTAATGATCCTGAAAAAAAAATACTTAAATACACAAATTGGTAACTTAAAGGTTAGTTTACCAGTTATATTTTTTTGATGATTAATTACTAATTTTTTATTCATAAATTTCTAATATTTTCATTTAAATAGTTGATAATATTAATTTTTAAATATCGTTGGAGCTTTCATACCATCAGTAGATGTTGTAAACGTGATTCAGGATTTCTTGACGTTACACACCAGCACGTTTTGTATAACAATTTAATTCAAATTTGTACGTTTTACTAATGAGCATTAATTTATATAATACGATACTAATATATTATATTGAAATGATGGTCGAATTGCAATAGTAAACTTTTGTGGGAAAGCGATATGTAGATCTTTCACTGCATATTTCGAAGCAATCAATCCATGTTATAAACTATCTTTGTGCCAAATCCGTTACTTTGTTCATGATAAAATAATGAAATTCCAAACAATACACACCTTTCAGGCATAAATACCATATTATGAATTACTAGACGGTATTACTTGCGATTGAGACGTTGAAATTAACATCTTAAACAAATTGGGAAAGAAAGGGATTGATTACCAATTTATTAAAGTTTTAAAATTATCAAGAAAACATAACGGTTGGTGGAATCGCATCGCCTCGTTTCGAAAGCGAGTCGTCCTCGGCTGCGCTGGCGCAAGCCACAACCAGACCGTTGCGATCGAGTTCCTCCAACACGCCGCGCGTGATCCACACTTGACTACTTAACTTCACACATACAGGTACTGTTTGTTTCTAAAACAAAAACTACCCAGTCCTAGTTGAAGTAGTTCAATGACATAGTATTTCAATAGAAAAACTAACTTATTTATTTTATTTATTCATTATAGGTACACTAACAGAATACAGTCAATACATGTTTAACAAAGAATAATAGTTGATGTAATCTAGACAGTTCTCCTTTGAACGTGTACACAACCTGATTAAAATTACCGAACACACGTTTGTTTTACACATGTGCAAAGCTTAATCGTAACTTATAAAATATAATTTTACTTAATAATGGTGTCGATCCTGACTATATTCCCTAAACTTAAAAATAAATTTAACATCAGTCTCTCATTTTCATTCTGTATAGAGAAAGACAAAGATACACTGTTGCCAAGTTTTATTTTAGTTTTAGAGAATCCTGCCAGAATCGACACCAATGTAGGTTTTAATTGTTATCTGGCTTGGTGCCAGAAACCTACATTTGGCTTTAATAATATTGCGTAACCAATATTATTAAAGCCAAATGGTCCCCAACTCAACAACTCTGAATTGGATTCTCAACTCTTACCTTAATCAAAACTTTAAACTTCATTATCGGTTATTCAACATCTGATAAAAACTCTTGAGAAAATTCTATGCCATGGGTTCGTATCACAGATTAACTGAGAACAACCGACAAATAATTCCGAAAAGATGTGCTTTTTTCCTTATTTAAAAAACTTAACACCATGTTGTTAAATTTAGGCAACAAGTAGAATAAAGAACATGAGGTAACCACTATTTTAGAAAAAAAAATATGCTACGGGGAATTTTCGCCGTGAGGAAAACATTAGTAGCGTCTGCGCCTTTGGCTTTCTCTTTCTCAGAAGTTCTAAGTTAAATATTTAATTTTTAATCATTTCCAAAAACTTTGTGATATAGCAAAGCCCTTTCTGACTTGATTCTCTATGCTAAGCGATGTATTAGCGATAACTATTCTGGGGTAAAAAATGCTCCAATTTCATTGGTTTTCGTAACCAAACTTTAGGTTCGTGAAAGTCAAGCAACTTTCGATGTGGCGGGTCATAGATTAGGTAACGAAAAATATTAACTGGTAGAAATTTCTTCAGATATAAAAATGAAGATGCTTATTGTTTACTATAAAAAGGGCTTAAAATGTTATAAGTTCCTTTGTGATTCGAAAGGCACGCAATCGTTAGCAGTCACCAATCCGCACTGGGACGATTCGTGGGTCTGTTCTCCGTATTTCCTCCATACGGGAACGGAATGCGGTGAATGAGGTGCGCTCATATTTAACCCACACCTTGCACCGTGGGTAAAGTCTGTGTGCCTGTGTCCCAGCAGCGGGAAGATTATTAATCTCACGATGATAATATATAAAGTATATATTAATATTTGTATTTTCATCAACAGATACGGCTTGCTTGGAGCGTCTGGCTGCGGGAAGACCACACTACTGTCCTGCATCGTGGGGCGACGGTCGCTCAACAGCGGCGAGATTTGGGTTCTTGGTGGCAAACCAGGGACTAAAGGTGAGAGAGCATGCTTCCTGATTACCAGTCATCTTTGTAAAGGATATTTAGGGCCCTATGCGCCTATTCTTATTATGTAGTACATACCATAGGCCTTACTGACTCATTTTAAAAAGGTACAATCTCCTCTTATCCATCTCAGGTGGGGCCGGGACTAGGATACTGGCACAATACCCATTTTAGATAGATTCAAGACACTACTTATCCTTCTTAGGTGATCCCGTGATCAGAATAGTCACGAAGAACCAGGACATACATATTTTAGATTAGGTTAGGTTTGTTTTTTTATTGTACAGGCTAAGACATCCATCTTAGGTGTGATTAAACCACCCCATTTAATACATCTGAGTTGCTCAAGGTTTAGGTTACCCATTTAAGATAAGTGCAAGACACTACTTATCCTTCTCATATTCATTAAATTTCCTTCTTATTGTCTCCCTTGCTGTGATGGATGCGGAAAACAACTAATTATGATATCCTTCCAGGTTCTGGTGTACCCGGCAAGCGCGTGGGCTACATGCCGCAGGAGATAGCTTTGTACGGAGAGTTCACCATCAAGGAGACCATGATGTACTTCGGCTGGATCTTTGGCATGGAGACCAGGGAGATCGCCGAGCGGCTCAGGTTCCTGCTGGACTTCCTCGATTTGCCCAGCGAGAACAGAATGGTGAAGAACCTAAGGTGAGTAGGACTGTTTTTCTAATATATAGAAATGAATAAAATGAAGCGAAATTTCCGTTATAGTTTTTCTTTTTGAGAAGCAACTGTCCAATCAGATAATAACACTACTTTATGGTGATAAAGCGCACACTATCCTGCAAGATGAATAGTGCGTAGAAAACTTGCCTTATTTGCTAAAGAAACAACAAACTCTACGCAGTAGAGGATGGAGTCAAGACAGACAACGAGCGAGTGACATTCTGGAAGGAAGGGACGCTTGGTACTAGTAGGTCTCCAGGTCTCCTTTGAAAATGCCAGCCATTTTAAAATGGTGATAACGCTAAAGTTGATGAGTATGATGGAAATAAGAAAGTGGGATAATATGCTAGAACTTATTAGAAATAAAAATATATCTTATGAATTACAGGAAACGTGAGATCAATATGAAACATGAGCGGACACAGCTGATATCGGTTTAGTTAGCACACTACAATAAACAGTTTTATGTCCCACCGTCACGTGTGACCGTACTCGGTAATTGTTTGAGCAAACACTAATACAAGGATCCGGGCGACTACTCTCTATGCACGAATCACGTATAGAAATAAGACTCCGTGGTACCCGAATACAGAATAGCACCTGTGAAGAAATCACCATTTGCCAGTGTTATGATTCTGATATTGAGTAAAGTTTCCAAAGAGCCGCAGGAATAGATGGGGTCAGGGTAGACAACGGCTTCAGGGTCGGCCGCTTACATCAAGCCGGTCAATGCTTGTTTGCAACCTTTTTAACATAAAACAAAAAGAAAAATATCTGTGCTTTATCTAAAAACAAAAATTATCCCACCTCTGATAAAATTAAAGCTGCCATCATAGCCTACAGATATAGGTAGGTTCCCTTTTACCAGAGTGTCACTTGCGCTTACTCTGGCTACCTTTAGCCCTCGCTTCTTTCCCCGTGAAACTTCGGGAACAATTCTCACCTATAGAAACACAAATCCATCAACCAATAGTGTTATTTCTTCTGAAAGGTGAAAATTACTTCCCCATACGGGCTCTGAACTCCTTTTAACTGGCGTTGACATAGTGCAAAGGGGTTTTTCCGGCCCTTATATGAGAATTATATTATGGCTAGAGAAATATCGTATTATAATGAACCTTAAATGTGTTTAAGATAGAGAATTTCTATCTGCAAATGGGATGATATTATTCATATTTCATCGACATATTGCAGTGATAACACGCCGCTTATGGAAACTATCATATTATTTGCACATGTCGTTTACATCTCTGACAGTCACTTCCTAGCGGAATAACTAATAGATTTATTCGACTTGAAGCAACTACATTTACAGGTGAGAATTTGACAACAAAACTGTTTTTTTAAGAAGAGATATTATTTTGTTTTATTATGATCCTGCATTAGATTACGAGCTAGATATAAATCATTATTTATTTAGTACCATAAGTAGATACTCCTACTACCAACCAAGAGAAAAGAATTGGCTTTAGTGATATCAAATCAGTAAGACAAAAAAAAACTTGCTTCCACAAACCTTGCGTGTATTCAAGATTTTTCTGTGTTCCATTTCAATGATATTTTGACCGTGTAGTTTGTGTGTTCGAAATGAGGTCTCCAGCGTGGAGGTTGAATCAGGTACTTAAATAGGTACTAAGTTTTGCATAATCTTAGCCAAAAGGCTCTCAATCGAGGCCTGAGTCAGGGTCGTAAGCTGTGCCTCTGATGTTACAAGTGTCCGTGGACTATGTACCTTGAGTGTTTACCACGCCACGCCAAGCCACAATGTTATTTGTCTTACATTGCTTACCTACAGTGTGTTAAGTACCTACCACGAAAATATACATAGAATGTACACTTCCGTGCAAGGATATTTTTCAGTATTTTCTATTAAAGGACTTAAGAACGACTTTAAACGATTTCATCCCTTTTTTGAAGTTTTCTAATACTTTGTATATAGAAGATTCTCACGGAAAAGAATTGAGAAAGTTGTATAAAGTTACGAGTGGAAGCTAGTGTTTAATAATTTGATGTTGCACCCAGATACATCTACTTAAAATAACTGTGTATTCTTATTGTAACATCATAGCGTTCTTCTTAATAAATGGCGTTTAAATAATAGTTGTAAATGTTGGAGTTGATTATATTTTAAATGTTCTTTGAGCTCCAAAATGTGGTGAGAAAACAGATTTTGGTCTATTTAAAATTATTGTACTATGCTTCTGATATGATTTTTTGGCGTAAATGACATCAACATTTTCCTCCTCGTCAATTGATAAACTTTCACAATTTGCGTAAAAGTTACAGTTTGCGGGCTCTAAATTTTTCCATCGTTTACTTTTTTTATTAGACTAATATGGGAAGGTAATTAAACTGCAGAGAACCAATGAAAACCCTTACATTTACAACTAAAGCAAACACCATTACACGCCACTTATTCGCTTAACGACCGTTTACGACGCACACAGTGGTCGTCACTCTTTCAACTCTGAAATTCCATGACTAATGAAAGTTATCGTTAAAAGCTTTTCGTCACGCCCATTGTTGGGCACTCCTTATGAGCCATGAAATTGGAAAACTGCTTCTGGAAATGCAATGTTTCAATCATAGAGAATTTTCCTTTGTAGTCATTAATAAATAAATACTTTTTTTTAAGTGCTGGCAAATAAGCATTATATGTTTTACCTGATGGTGAATGAAAATCATAGCCATAGATTCGTGCTATATCACAGAATCATTTAAGCGCAATTGATGAATCATGTCCACGGCTGAGGCAAATTATAAAAAGACTTGTTTTAAAAATGTTGCTGTCGACAAGTACGTAAATACGTTACATAAAATAATAATAAAGATAAAATTAAGATAATTTTATGATTGACATTACATAAAGGTTTTTAATGTTAAGCGATTGGCAACCTATTATGGTACTGAAGAATTTAGATACGGTCCCCTTTCGAAGTCTATTCAAAACCCTATTAACGTTATTGTGTTTTCATGACGAGGCATTATCTTAAATTCTAACGACTCGCTAAAATTAACTTATATGAGTGAAAGTAATGTATTTTGAGCAAAGTCGCGTGCCAAAATTCTATCACGAGCGACCGAGAGGAGAGTAACTTCCTACAGTGAAAGTGTGAGTGACGCGCCGTGCGTGACGCAATAATACAGTATCAAGCACGTGCTTATTAAGATGTGTGTTACGTTGTCATTTGCGTATGAGTGTACCAAATAATGTATATTTTAAGTAATAGTACAGATAATGGCTTTTGCTTTATTCTTGTCAAAATTAATTAATTTAATTTCATCGAAGGCATTGTGGACCTCATTTGGAATACAAGTATTATGTCATCTAATGTTTCCTGTGAAGTTTGGTAGTTTTGATAGAGGTATGTTATGTCTATCGATTACCTACAGTTAATGAGATACTACAGCCCCTTGCGCTGACAGACGAACACCTTATAATAAGAGCAATATACATGCTGTTTTGATCTAGTCCTTTCGATTAAAATTAAACACGGAAGTTGCAAATTCAGAGCAAAACTCATGATTGGTAAAAAGCTTACCGATGAGCGAAGAAGAAAGAAATGCATGTCTCATAGTGTGCCCGTTTTCTGTGTTCAGCTGAGCATATTCCTACCCCAAAGATATCCATAATGATCGGTCTGAGCTGTCCGCATCAGTTGGTTCCCGCGACTTTTGATAGATCGTCGCGTCGGTCCATGTTGGGGCCTTGCCCAGTGAGTGTCGTCCGATGCGTGATCACCAATTGTCCTTTCCACCTCATGCTCATGCATCATTAATAAATATTAACCAATCGTTTCCTTCACAGCGGTGGCCAGCAGCGTCGCGTGTCGTTCGCCGTGGCTCTCATGCACGACCCGGAGCTATTGATCCTGGACGAGCCCACTGTGGGCGTGGACCCGCTGTTGCGTCAGTCAATCTGGATGCACCTGGTGCGCATCACCAGCTCAGGGGACAAGACGGTCATCATCACCACTCACTACATCGAAGAGGCGCGCCAGGCGCATTGTGTGAGTAACCTTATCATACTCCGTTCTCTCAATAATTATAGGTAATACCTAGTGTGCAATGTACAGATTGAGCTCACCAAAAAAAACATATTTTTTCACCCTCAATGCATACTAATTAAAGAATGTTATCCGCCTTGAAAATAATATTATGTCTGCATTGAGGAAAACAAGATGGCGCATTTATCTCACGTGAATTCGAAATGCGAATATGTAACTTCATAATTTAAAAATATGGGTACAAAGCAATGATATTACATGGTAAAAAGAAATATGTAATGTTTCAACATGTTTTCTCAAACTGAACTGATCAAAAGGAAAGCATAGTTAATTTTGATACAGGTTGTTAAAGTTTGTTATTTTTTACGAATTTAGAAATGACAAAAAATTAGCATGCTTAGGTACATAGTAGCATGAATCTTCTTCTTCGTCGTCGTTTCATGGCTGAGGTCGTGACCAGAGATCTCCAGGCCGTTCTGTGTTCTGCAAGATGTGTGCAAGATGCTATTCGTGATTTCCTCAACCACGTCCATCCACCAGGATGAAGACCTGCCCTGCTCCTTTCTCCTTCCAATAATATTCAGATTATGAATAATTTTACAAACATTAGGTATTTGTTAAGACACACACTATTTACCAGAAACTGGCATTACATTAATAAATATCTTTAATAAAATAGTACTATACTATACGTCGTTCATGAGCTTGGCAGTTAAGCGTAACTATAGGCAGTTTAGTGAACACCCAATTCGAGCAATAAATCTGCTTTGCTCTACCTCGCTTCGCTAAAATATTTTTAAATTGTACCTGGGTTATGACGTGAAGTGATGTTATGTTAAGATCTTCCGGTTAATTGTTGATTTATATATATTTCCACAAACACAGCCGATGCAAGGAATGTTGTTAGCCCCGGTGACCTCACGTGGTTGTAGCCCAAGAGATAATGTACATGCCTGCATTTATCTAATCAGTAACTTGCAAAGCACAATATTACATTGTAAACTACAAAAAATCATACTAGTACCTACGTAACAGAAACGTTATTTATTGCTCTTCTTTTCTGTGCAATTTTTATTATTATGATTTCATAATATACTTGACGCACTATAGTTACTGGAATAGTAAAGCATAAAAATTACATCATGTTCTTTTACGATATTGAATGTAAAAGTATAATAATATATTTTTTAATTAATATTTAGATGTTTGTTACTCAATCGCACAAAGAGACTGAACTTCTTAGGATAAAATTTTGCTCTTAGGATAAACTATCTGTAATTTATTATCTAAATTACGACATATTTGAGAAAAAATATTGGTTTCCTGTGGAGTTCCTAAAAACCAAACCACAATTTTATCAGTAGATAGAACTGAATCGTGCCCTAGAGCTGTGAGCCTATAAATAACCGTTTACGAAAGGTCTCTGTGGAATCTTTGTCTGTTTCTATTTTTTACAATCTACGCAAAAATGTAAGCAGTTGGAACTTTTATGCCTTTTTTTCTTAGTGGAACGTGACCACTAGTAAATTAATATTATTCAAATCATAAAGTACTTTTCCACTGGACATGTGTGGTCGACCTTCGAATGAGAGAAATGGACGATGGGTGTCTCAACATATACAGAGTACACTGCAAATATATATTTTATATGTATATTGTATACACATTAAAGCCGTCGTAGCTGGTCCAAGGTCGCACAACGACACGTTGCATCACACGTCGCTGACCAAACGTGCTTAGCTTTAAAACAACAAATAAATAAATATTACCAACTTTTAAGAGGTCGCATCCAGCGGGCTGTCCGATCCATAGACATAGAATGAATTAAACGACTTTTGCATGAAATTTTAATCTCCATGAACAGAGAGAAAGCGATGGTACAGCAAGGCTTTTTGTTACCTACTAGACGGGCGAATGCTGGCTGTAAGGTTATGCCAACTCTTCAATACTAAAACTCACTTTGATAGTCCCGATTCTGGATATACGCTTTTTCGGCTCAGCCACAACCTTGTCCTGCTATACGTCGACTGAGGGCGACGCATTGAGCGATGAGAACTGAAACACTAAAATGTTAGAAGCACGACACGAAGCGAAGCCTACAATCGATATCGGAGCTAGCGTAAAGCCGAGCCTACCGAATGCACGCAGCCTGTCGCCATCGCTAAGCCAATAGTCATGGACGGGAAAGAAAGTTATGGTTCATAAAGTGCGATCGACCCTTGAAAAGGGGACGATGCACTGCCCTAGTTATACATAAGCGAGTGCAACGCTTTGTGGGGTGCATTCATATCAGGATGCTTCCTTAAATGAGAACCAACTTATAAAGCGTTGGAACTTACACACATTTCTATCTGAAACTGTAATAATATTGCAAGAGGCGATTCATGCTTTCATGACTTCATCCATTATCGCGTTTTCTCCCAATGTTTACTCTTGTACTTTTTGTTAACTTGCTATATGTCCCACTATTGACTCTCGCTAAAAAAGAAAAAATATTACTGCTTTAAGGGCGAGGTAAACATATAATGTGTAAGCATCATATTTTCCCCTGCAGACAGTTAAAGTCTATCAACTGACCGAAAAACTATATAACAGATAGGATAGACTAGTAACCTGCCACAATTATTTTCCGACAATATTGCAAATGAAATCGATGTAAAAAAATTAAGTCTATAAGCGAAGAGTCTTACTGTCTCTAGGTCTAATGATGTTATTACAGACACGTGTATTAAATCGACAGGTATTAAGGTAAAGACGTAGACGTCTCAAACGACCTCTAAGTTCATATTACCTACGGAAGTTAGCATCACTCCACACATATAACAATAACACTTGTAAACAGTACCTAAGTTAAATAATGGATTGACACTAGTGACACATGCTACTTGGAAACGATCCAATTGAAAATTTCCTTAGAAATATCTTGGAACTTGTGGAATACCACAAGTTTGTCATTTTGAAGTTATGCATTTGATTTCCCAGTCTAGTCATAGTGTGATACGGATTCTCTATGTTCTATCTATTTAGAAACAGAAACATTTTGGAAACAGTCTAGCAAAACACTATATTAGACTCTATTGTAGTCGATAAGTAGGTAAAGTTTTAAAATCTTATTGTAGTAGTTTGTACTGATAAATAAAATAAAGTAGACGTGAATCCGTTCAGATCTAATATTGATTTAAATGTAGTAATTATTTAATGCGTACTTCATAGTCGTCGGGATTTTACTTAATTAATGGTGCTACTACGTTTGTAGCGTGTCTATCATAACAAGACATAATGCGACGATTTATCGACACTTAGCCAGTTAATATAGGTATTGACATATCACAGTGTAATACTAACTTCCAGTATAGTGAGCCCTGAAGGTGAGAAGCGCTCGCCCTTGACGAATAAAAGCTACTACATGATACTAAAAATCAATAATGGTATAACATGTTCTTAAAGGCAGCGATGCGATCCTGCCTTCTGCTGTAAAGATCGTGGGTTCGAATCCCTTAAGGAGCATTTTTGGTTTGACGAGCACAAATATGTCTAAATACATATTTGTGCTCGTAACCTACCAGAAAACTACTAAAATTGTTTCGATCTTTTTTTTCTATCGTTTCTTAAATAGTTTTTCACACAAGGACTTGACGAAATCAAAAAAGGCGGTTCACTGTTAAATATTATTTAGTACCTTTAATGAGGAGCTGGATGGCGCTTTAGACCCGCGATCGAGGAACTTGGGTAATTTTCACAATGGTCGGTCATTGGATTGGTGACCAGAATTAACTATCTCGAGTCCCGGATGTATCTGCAGTCGTTAGGATCCACCAATTCGCACTGAGCCCGCATGGTGGGTCAAGGCCCAATCTCCCTATTCCATCCATAGAAAAGACCTGTGCCTCAGCAGTGAGGACATTAATAGAATGTGATGATGATTGTAGAAAGCGGCATGAATTATAACATTTAATAATGTTTAGGTTATTAAATAAATTTGTTTTATTCTTTTTCTCCAGATCGGTCTGATGAGGAGCGGAAAGCTGCTGGCCGAGGAGTCACCTCAGGCGCTGCTCACCATGTACAACTGCATTTCGCTGGAAGACGTGTTCCTTAAGCTGTCCAGGAAGCAAGGTAAGTCACTTAAGTATCGTTGGATAGGACTTGGAAAAACATTTCGGGTCTACGCTTATATGCGCGTGCACCCAGCAGTGCTATTCTGTAAGAACGTCCCCCACGACAACGGCTAACTAGTCTTAGTCTTAGTAGAACGGCGGGCTGTTTCCGCAACTCGACACCCAGTGCCTATTTTGCGTGGGGATTGACATCAGTCCTGCCATCCCAGCTCCTCCAGAAAGCTCAGCAGTCCCCGATCGTTACTGCAGGCCTCTACTATTGTCTTCGGGCTTCCCATTAGAGAAGTCCTTTGTCTTCATTCCAGCAGCACACGGGCGCTCGTCTCCTCGTCCTCCAGGCAGGCTCCGCACAGAGAGCTGTCAGAAATACCTATATCACAAAGGAGTTTGTTGAAATAGCCGTGACCCGTGAGTATACCCACGTTTTGTTTTAGGGCTTGTCTAGGAAGTCTGATTAACTTACGTATTAGCTGCCTGTTATAAGGTAAACCACCTTGGGAACGGCTTCCCTAGCTTGCCTGCAGTCCGTGAGTTCTGTCCAGTATTCGTTGTGTTGTCGTTGACAGCGCTCCTTTATCCAGGTCCAGCTGTCGATAGGGTATGGGTACAATAGGCTCCGGACCAATGGCCGTCCTGCTGGAACCTTCCCTGGCTAAGCAGCCCGCCGCATCGTTACCCCTTGAGCCGCTGTGTCCTTTAATCCACTGTAAAGTCAATCTATTGTCGTTAGCAATATTAGTCAACTTACAGTGGCATTCATAAATTAAGCCTGATGTCATTATATTATTGTCCAGTGCCTGTAGGACAGAAGCGCTGTCAGAGAGAATACGAATGTGTTTTCCTCTTACCCCGCGACAATCTATCGCCTCAGCGGCCCTGATGATGCGGCCCACACACTCTGCCTGGAAGACCGTGTTATAGGCTCTCAACGGCTAACTAGAGCCTAGGTCTGAGTCTCAGAGACGCCCTCTAGTTGAGCCGACCCCCTCAGGTTTGAGTGGTCTAAAGGCTCCAAACGGAGAGGAGACTCCCCGCGCGGGGAGATGCCATCCGCCTCGAATACCTCTAGAGGCACTCGCCAATTCTCGGCTTGAGATCCCCTTAAGATCTCGCCGTCCCCAAACCCGGTGACGCTGTAAAGGTCATCTGCGACCAACAGTACACAAACTCAAAAAAAAAAAACTCACACGTAACCAACTCACCTCGCGCCACCATCATCCGCGGACACGAATTTCAAATTAATTTAAAATCACACCGGTGGTTTTGTTTGAAAAGTGAGATTGTTCTTACAGAAAAGCACTGCAGCTACTGTTAATGTACTATCGAACATTTTGATTCCGGACTCACTTGCCCGATAATCGCTTGAAATTGACAAATTTGCTGAGTTTTCTTATAAAAACAATGCATTAAGATCTTTTAATGACAAGAAAACTTCATAAATATTACCATAATATACCAATCATCCTTAAAATTTCACCTTTATTAAGAAAATTTCAAAAATGGTTTGAAATACGAGACATTTTTTTAATTTTCGGCGAGTACCTGAAAGATATTACTTCCTTCCGATTTTTAAATACTTTTTTTGTGATAGCACAGCGCAACTATGGATTCGATACAACATGATTACATGTGTGATTTTTATCGCTCTGCGAACTTTGAAATTCATTGATAGCATAAAGTTATTCTTTCATCAGTAGTCGCCTCCCCTTAGGTCTTATTTTGTAACTTTCTCATTTCATCACTTTAATTTCTTATTCGTGAAAGAGATAATTTTGTGTTACGTCACATTGTCAATTTTCTTTACCTCTGAAAGGGAAAGCGAAAAGCGATTTTCTCTTTCATTCTTTGCCAATCGCCATCATTTTATCTTATCATTCGCCAATAAAGGTCTTTAAGTTATAAAAGATAGATCTTTTAATATTTTATAATGCCATCAAACTTTAAAAAAACGTAGTTAATGTTTTCAAAATTCACTTTACACGGTATTTTTAACAAAATATAGATAAGGAATGACGGAGATAGGTCAGTAAAGCAAGAAAAGAATCAAAATGCCACGTAAGCAAATGCAGTTATGTAGTGTAGTGTATAGTGTGTATGTAAACACGTGAGTTACGAATTTTTTGGCCGACAACCCGCGCCCGCGACGACCGACCGGTCAAACAAGTTTTGCAATAACTCGATCAACAACTCGACCCGACACGACTTAGGGATGCGAACGATAAGTCGATGTGTCAATACTAAGACATCGATGTTCAGTATTTGAAAAAAAAACCGGCCGAATTAAGAACCTCCTCCTTTTCGAAGTCGGTTAATGTGAAAGAGAGCACGTGTTTAATAATGACGAAAGGTGAATGGGCAAAAGAGGTTTATATTTCATTTATCGAAAACATATAGAAAAATTATCCAAAATGTGCATTACAAAAATTACAATATTGTTTCAATGTATATTTTTACATGGACACTTCTAGCGAAAACCGTCAAATCAAGAATGAGCGAATTAAAACTAACTTTCGTCGCGAAGTCAGACAAAAAAATATCGTTACCGTTATGCTGCCGATTGTTAAATTTTTCGTATTTTCATGTTTGTTAAAACCCACCACCAGTGTAACGTTATATCGATGTTTCTCTTTATGATGTTTTCAACCCTAACGCACCCCGACTCGACTCTGAACCGCAGCTCGGATTACGTTATAAATTTCACAGCAAGTGGAGTGTTTTTAAAGTAGCTTCTGACTAAAACTACTTACTTTATAACCCCTTCCTTAACTAATATACTTTTATTTTATGGGAATTCACACAAATACACACAAAGGATAGGAAGCCTAAATTAAAGAGTCTGGTCAAAATATATCCTCCAGCTTACGAAGAATTTAATTTCACCTTCACCTTTCATAGGCCGCACTTTAAAAACAACCCTCACACGCAACTCACAAGGCAGCGCAGCATGTATTGCTTAGTTCCTCCTAAATAGATCGAAGCACAGTTAAATTTTCTTTTCATTTATAAATACTTTTAAAAGGCTTAAATTTCCAATCAAACAAACCTTGCTTTATAGGTTATATTGTTATAGTTTTGTATTGATTTTTTTATAAACATATCGCTCGCGGGTCTTTGCAAACGAAGTCGGTTTTATAGTAAACAATACGGGCAAATAGCTGGCGCATCGGCTCGCCCCGGCCTTGCGCTGCATGGCGCAATCGAGACACGCCATCACCGCTGCCTCGACTCTTGCGCAGTTACTCTGCATTCATCCACTTTCTTGTTTATAGTATTTGACTTACTTAGAACATAACTTATCGATTGTGAAACATGCCCTTATTAGTAAATAGGTACACCTTGTTTATTCAAAACCCACTTGATGCCAAGTCTAATATGTGAAGGAATACCATCTCCCATTAGTACTTAGGACAACGTTTAGTTACGTACAACCACTGGCTTGTTATAGTATACCATATTGACGTGACAACGTCTTAAATTAGGTTGCGGCTGGGAGTCACTTATGAAAAAGTGTAACGCTCGGTAACGTTACGATGAGTCTCTCGTGTTAAGTTTAAGTTTACATGTACAATGTTTTAGTAAACAAAATATATTTCTATAGTTAAAATTTGTGCAATTCTTATTTTCATTCAATTCCTTGTTCCTATTGTGCAATTTAATTATATTCATATCAATAAATATTCTACCGAGAAAAAGACGTTGTCACGTAAAATCTTCGCCCGTAAAACCGACTTTACAGGCAACCATTTTTTTTTATACTAAATTAGGTCATCGTTATAAAGTAAGACGTTGTTTACGCTCCTGTGCTATTTTAATGTTATTGGTGTAGTTTTTTGAAACTTAAATGCAAGTGAAACTTTTAATATCATTAATAAAAATTAGTCTTTCCTTTACCGGGAATCGAACAGCCTTGTTGATAAAATCTGTTTTCTTTTAAATGACAATGTTGTAATGCGAGATGCTAAAGATGAACGAAAAATTTTGAAGTGATTTAGTAAAATCACAGATTACTTAATAGTTGTCCAAGTATCACTTTAAAATTAATTATATAGATGGTCTTAACAAAATCATTGTTATTGTCTCATGGCCTAAGTATTCTTAAGTCAATATTTCACTAAGCGTGCGTTACCATTCCATAGCATACCATATCCGTAAAAATTTCGGAATTATTACGCAAAGAAATGGAAACGAATAACATTTATATCAAATATAATTACTAGGGTGGTCCTTATTTTTTTTTTAATATTTATTGCTGCCCTTAACTTTCGGCCCTTCATATAGAGCTCAGGTACGATGGGAGTACTGCGGATAAAATCCTTTCAGCCGCATAAAGTGCTCGAACTGTTTTATTTTAACTGAGTTTTCTATTTGTTTTTACGATCTACTCAATATGGCGTCTGTAGGTAGAGCGCTTAACTGAGTCCTCGCCTGCGGGGTAAAGGGTATGGGGGTAGGACGAGAACGGCGACCGTAAGAGGTGCGGGAGGCAGCCACATTCTTGTCATAATTACAAGCGCCCGCCGCGCACACTTATCTCGGTTCCCGTTCTCGTCCTAATCCCACACCTTTGACCCCGCAGGCGAGGACTCAGTTAAGCGGTCTACCTATAGAAGTGATAGTGAGGATTGGATTTGATATTATTAAGACTGCCAGATTTAAAAAAAAGAGTGACCGGGCAGTCATTGAGAACCTCTCCTAATAACTGAGAAAGTCAGAAACCAATATTTTCTCCCTGACAAAAGTATTATTAACTACATAAAATATTAAGTTACTGTAAAGATTTTGTCTTTGATTTCGTCGTAGGTATAGTATCCCTCGAAAGATAATGCTATTCCCAACTTGGGTAGATTATAACTACACCCTCGTTGGTAATTTAATCGGTCACTTTCTCCCCTCGCTGAATAATGTACTTTTAATATTTTAAGTGCAGGTGCAGCTTGTTTGCTTGCCGTGCGTGCTAAAACGAAATTGTGTTCATGAACCTTATTTTACCTAGTGCCGTAGACTTAATGATTTTTTTTCTCCACCAGCCGGCCAGAACAGTGCCGTTGTCGAGTTGAACGTGTCCGGCGGCGGCCTCGGGCTAAACAAGATGTCGAAGCGGGAGGAGGCTCCTTACGCGGCGGAGGACGAGCACGTGGTTGGGCTCAACTTCCAGGCCATCAACCAGAGCAAAGAGGTGCTCATCGTGGAGAATGGGGTAGCCTCCAACGGAGATGTGAGTGGACAAACTAATTTATTTAATAGAAAGAAAAAGTATTTTCTGGTATCAGACCCAAATCCACGATTTTTCAAAAACAATAGTGTAAAACTTTGGCGTCCCCTATTTTTGTTTGATTGTTTATTATCGATATCCAAAACACTTTATAATTACTCTTGTTAGGACAACTAAAATTTTGCTAAAATAGAATAATCTAAGTAAGAACCTTGATTTTATTCCAGCTGCCCGGCAAGGTGACGGAAGCGGTAACAAATGAGTGCAACGACTGTGGAGACTGCTTTAACGTGAGTTATTTAATAAGGGTTCTGTAACTTTCTGTTTAGTAAAAAAATAACATATAAGGGGCTTATAATATCTTTGATAATACCTCTGTTTTCCAGCTAACATCACGCGGGAAGATAAAGGCCCTAATCCAGAAGAACTTCCTGCGGATGTGGCGCAACATCGGCGTGATGCTGTTTATCTTCGTGCTGCCCGTCATGCAGGTCATCCTGTTCTGTCTGGCCATAGGGAGGGACCCAACTGAACTGAAACTGGTGAGTGATGGTACCTTACCCTATTTTTATATGTCGCCAAAGAGCGGGACCCCACTGAACAAATTGGTGGGTGACGGAACCACATATTGCCCAGTGTCTGGAATCCACATCCACATCAGGTGGTATGATGGCTTACGAGTAAAAAAGAAAATGGGCTGACGTAAGGAACTCCACATTTTCTGCTGTTTTATTGCCTACCTAACTTTGTATTTATGCGTTCGAATGAATATAAACTTTGCGTTTCCTCAACAGGCTATAGTGAACGATGACGCGCAACTAGTGAACGGGGAATGCATGTTCAACTCGTCTTGCTCAATGAAGAACTTGTCGTGTCGCTACCTCAGTCATCTCACGGATCACACTCGCCAGATTCACTACGCCAATCTCAGCGCTGCGCAAGATGCCGTGAAGCAAGGACACGCCTGGGGAGTGCTGTTCTTCAACGAGAACTACACCGATTCACTTGTGGCGAGACTTGCGTTAGGTAACTATGACGTTAGGTCAACAGCAAGAAACAGCTGCTTGACATCTAGGTGTTCGGTAAGAAGCTTACAATCTCAAAGTCGAACACAGGCGCCAAATACACTATCTACTCTAACCTCAGTGCTGCGCAAGATGCCGTGAAGCAAGGAAGGAGAACTATGTACACTAATTCACTAGTCGCGAGACTTGACTTGAATCCATTTTATATCTAGGGTAATATTAAGTTCTGTCATCTATGTTGACAGGAAGAAGCTACATCCTTACATTTAGGTTATATTAGCAGGACGCCGTAACATCTAGGTAGGTATTAGGTAAGACGCGATAAAGCAAAGATATACGAGGGGAATAGGTAATGCTTCAACGAGAACTACACTGATTCACTGGTTGCAAGTCAGGACTTGCTTTAGGTGAGTTTATCTGATGTATATCATGAATAATTAACTAAGTACTTGATATATAGGATATAGTAGGTAGGATGCCGTCAACGAGAGTTACACTAACTGCGTGGTGGATACAAAATCCGATCCCAAGACAACTAAATATTTAAGATTAGATTTTAATTTTTATTTCTTTTTCAGAACATATTCATTTCCATCATCCTTTTGTTAATGGTTTTAACGTGATATTTTATTTATTTATTAACAATTATTTTAACACATTACGTAACCGTTTTCATGGTTTTATTTTAATCCATAAGTGATGTTTAACATTTATACCAAATGCTTTGCGACAGCTTACTATTTTTCTTGGTAGATTTAATCATGAATATAAGTGATAATTATATCATAATTATAAATAACTTTGTCACTGTTTTAATTTTTTTTTGTGTTTTTGTGTTGTGTAGTTCATTGTATTTATGCCGTTAAGCGATTCTGCTCTGCGAATATGTCCTAAAGCGAACAACTGGTTTTATCATCTTAAAATACAGTGAGAGCAAGATATGCCAGAGAAGATTGTATTTCAAATTTTCGACAAAAATTATGGCAGGACTCGGACTGAGCGAGTCAAGCTGCAATCTAGGTTACATTATAGGAAACAAGCTCAGCAGGGCTTTTGTTTACACCATCGAATAATATTCATGTATTATACATATAAACCTTTCTTTTTAACACTATATCTGTCGCTGTAAGCTGCATTAAAGCGACTGTTTTATATACTATGTAAAAAAGATATTTTTTTGTAACACCACTTAGTCCTGGTAACAATTGGTTACTTTGGGGCTAGGCTAATTGGTGTGAGTGTCTTGGGAATGTTGATGTTATTTATTTATTCATGATCAGCCGACACCGCTGATGAGGAGACGGTGCATCTGTCGGACATCCAGGTGTGGCTCGACATGTCAAATCAGCAGATCGGACTCATGCTCAACCGCGACATACAGTACGCGTACAGGGACTTCGCTCAGGTAACTATCAATCTATAAAGTCACCCCAGTCGAGAGGAGCTCGATGGCGCGGGTGATTAGCGCGTTCGGCTGCGATCGTTGGAGTTGAGCAACTTTCGCAGTGGTCGGTCATTGGATGGGTGACCAAAAATCTTCTATCTCGAGTTCCTTCGTGCTTCGGAAGGCACGTTAAGCCGTTGGTCGCGACTAAATCTGCAGTCGTTAGCACCCGCCAATCCCGCCATGGGCCCGCGTGGTGTGTCATGGCCCAATCTACCTATTCCATCCATAGGGAAGGCCTGTGCCCCAGCAGCGGGGACATTAATAGGCTGATGATGATGAAAGTCACCCGGGGCAAATGTATACTTCCGGATACTTCTCGGCCCACGTAGCATTTTAAGTTTTGACGGTCCCTAGGTAAAAATAAAGTTACATTGAGCAAATAGTTTTTACGCAGATAATAAACCATCGTTTTCACGTATTTTTAACAATATATTATTATTGCTGAACCTAACATATTTTTAACTACAGACCGTTGAAACTTATAACACTAAGTGGACTGATGGATGTGTCCGGGAGTGTAGTTTTATAATGTAACAAACATCTGAGGCTCTGTGGAGTAACTTTTGCTGTAGAGAACTACAAACATTCGTTATTTTAAAAACGAAACAGTAACGAGTTATTTGAAACAGCTACATTTGCCCTTGGCTAAAATAGCCCCGGTGGCCTTAGTAATATTATAAAATGAAAGTGTAGTGATTGGGTTAGGATACGGCGCAAGTGATAACTTTGGTATGGCGAGCGTCTATACTGGTATCACCCTTTTAACATAGAAAAAAAACATAAGTGTATCTGTTGCCTCTTTACGCTTAAACCGCTGAATCGGTTTGGATGTCATTTGGTATCGAGATAGTTTGAGTCCCAGGAAAGGATATAGGATCGTTTTTCATCCCAGATATGAACATTTAAGGGTGTGAAAAAGGGGGTGGAATTTTATATGGGGAACAAATTTTTGTAAGCAGACGAATTCGCGTCAGTTTAATAACTAGTAACATAATACACTAAACCAATTGTTAACAAGTCAACAGACCACTAAAATATATCAGCGGAATTTCCATAACAAAAAGATCATTAAAAATCGCTTAGTTTTGTTTTTAATCATATAATAGACAAAGGCTACAATCACAAAAAGTCCTTTTTTAGTTCTTTTCTGTATTCTGTCACGTTTTGTGAAAAGACTCGCACTTGGTGAGCAAGTTAAGTTCATCGCTCACTAAATTATGAGCAGCATCTGCTTTAAGAATCTGAAAGTTTTCCCTTCACGTAGGTAGGTATTATTATAATTACTTCAAACATATCTAAATTGAGGAGCTCGATGGCACAAATGGTTAGCGCGTTCGGCTGCGATCCGTTGAAGTTATCAACTTTCGTGCTTAGCTCCTTCGTGCTTCTGAAGGCAGGTTCAGCCGTTGGTCCCCGCTATATCTGCAGTCGTTAGTGCCTACTAATCCGCATACGAGGATACATTCCATCCATAGGGAAGACCTGTGCCCCAGCAGTAGGGGCATTAATAAGCTGAAGATGCTCTCTTAATTATTAGTTATAACAATAAAATTAATGTACTTGCAGGATCTGCTAGATCGATGCAAGTATAACCCGAAACTGGGCGACATCCCCATCGAGTTTTTGGACCCCATCTACGGCAACAAGGACCCCTCGTTCACGGACTTCGTCGCCCCTGGTGTTATTCTCACGTGAGTCCAACGTTATTATGATATACATCCCGAAAAACTTCTTGAGCAACGACCATAGATAAGAAAGCTTGCGCAGTAGCAATTTCACATGGGTACAAAAACGTCTACTACGTAAGTTTATTTGTCAGTGGTTTTACTCAAAAAGTTTGCCGCGATCTATTTGATTGCCCTTAAAAATTTAGGCGCACTAGCCAACATTCTTATTTCTAATAAAGGCTTGACCCCGCTTAACACATCATTCCATATTTGTCACTTGTTCTTTGACAAGACAAAAAGAGCTTAATTTTAATTTAAGAACTTTGGTCCATCAATTGCTGGAATGAAATTCATAAATGGACATTGTTATTTTTAAAATGACCAATAGATTTTAGACCCTCTGGTTAAACTCTAATGCTAACACTTTACCATCAGACTACACGCTATTCGTATTTGATATTTGTCATTTTGACAACAGTATGTCCTTATCATGATCTTCTTCATACATGAATGAAGGTCGTGCCTTTCTTGAAATACCTTTACCGAGACGGTGACAAGCGGTCTCTCCATTCTACTCTATCTTCGGCTCGTCCAACCAACGGACCAGGTGATCGGCCTCTTCGAATTTTACCACCTTACCTATAACAACCAACCTGTCTTAGTTGTCGGGCTTTCTCCGGACGATATGAATAGTGTGACCTAGTACTCTGTACCCTACCCTAACAAGCTTTATTGGGAATGAAAACGAGAGACTACTGTGTGTACAAATAGCATACATGAATAGCTATGTTAAGTCTCCGTATAATGTAGAACTTCTTTCTCCCACAGGATCGTGTTCTTCCTCGCCGTCGCTCTTACCTCATCGGCTTTAATCGTGGAGCGTATGGAAGGTCTCCTGGACCGTTCTTGGGTAGCAGGCGTCTCCCCTGGCGAGATCCTATTCTCCCATGTGGTCACGCAGTTCGTAGTGATGTGCGGTCAGACTGCGCTCGTGTTACTCTTCATGATCCTCGTGTTCGGCGTGGAGAACAATGGCAACATCGCCTACGTGATCATGCTCACCATACTGCAGGGTAAGCGAACAAATTGTTCTCAGCTCGTGCTTCTGTTCATGATCCTCGTATTCGGCGTGGAGAAAAAAGGCAACATCGCCTACGTGATCATGATAACCATACTGCAGGATAAGCGGACATATTGTTCTTAGTTCGTGCTTGTTCATGATCCTCGTGTTCGGCGTGGAGAACAACGGTAACATCGCCTACGTGATCATTTTCACCATTCTGCAGGGTGAGGGATCATATTGTTCTCAGCTCGTGCTTCTGTTCATGATCCTCGTGTTCAATATGGAGAACAATGGCAACATCGCCTGCGTGATCATGCTCACCGTATGATGTACTGCAGGATGAGCGGACATATTGTTCTCGCACGAGACAAAAAAGAAAGAATCTTATGGAAATAAAATTATTGAGCAAGGTTTTTGTAGGTTGGGAAACAACAATCTTTTGACGAACGATCACATGAGTTTTGTGCTGTTTTTCCCCGTCCCAAAAGCTCTTGAAATAAAACTCAAAGAAGTGTTGGGTAACTTACATAGAACAATGTAAGTTACCCAACACTTATAGTAACCTAATACATTTCCGTTTCCAGGTCTATGCGGCATGTGCTTCGGCTTCGTGATATCGGCGGCGTGCGAGCTGGAACGGAACGCTATCCAATTGGCTCTAGGATCTTTCTATCCGACACTGCTTCTCAGCGGTGTCATTTGGCCCATCGAAGGAATGCCTCTAGTTCTTCGCTACGTATCGCTCTGTCTCCCACTCACACTCGCTACTAACAGCCTGAGGTCTATTCTTACGCGCGGTTGGCCTATAACCGACCCCGACGTTTATATGGGCTTCGTAGCCACCCTCATATGGATCGCCGTCTTTTTAACGCTCACACTCACTATACTGAAAGTAAAGAAGAACTAAACGCTTTCCGTGAAAAAATAAAAATAAAACGATACCAAGGAAGGTGTAAAAGACTAAGCCACGTTCCATTTTCAAACAGACGTAGACGTTTCAAATACGATAAAGGCCGCTTAACGATTATAACCAAACACTTGTAAGAAAGCCGAAAAAAAAACCAATTATGAGCCGTTTCCATTTTTTATAGTATACCCAACCGATACAACACCCCCCATTTTGAAGGTAAAGATAAGCATTCTGAGATGAACTAAGCTGTGTACCGTTTTAAGCAAAGAATCAATGGAAACCTAACTGTATGCCACAATATCCTTTAAACAGCTCTATTCAGAAATGAGAAATTCATTCACCCCTTTGTAAAATATATCGAGCTATGACCTGATCATTTTTTTCTATAAAGGAATCTGCTTTTCACGATTATACATAAATTGACTTTCAACGGCACAGGAATTATGTATAATGTGCGTTAAAAATCCAGTTCACGTTTAGCTAACGCGACCCATGTTCGAATTTCAAATATTTCCGGAAAACGGCTTTTACTCTGGTTTGTGATTTGTTTTAGTTATGGCAGCAATTAAGAGATCTTTATAACATATGAGATCTTATAATAACATTTTCAATACACAAAAACGAACAAATGCTGCTAATTTGTAAAGTTTTATTATTGTTATTTGTTTAGAGCGCACTTAATATGTATATTCAATGAATTCAATGATCGAATACAATACCTCTTTTGGCCGTTTGATGGCAAGCAAAAGAATGTATAAAAACTAATTTTATCGAAAAAGTCGAAGACAATGTGTACACGTAATTTTATTTTCGTGTAAAATTCTTGTGTACATTGTTTAGTGAAATCTCCTGAATATTGTCGTGTCTTAAAAATTGGAAACAGTACATTCCCCATTGCGAAATTCAGGGGTTGCCAGATAACCAAAAAAGATGGAGCTTTAGAAACTGTCTGCAGATTTTTGAAAATTAAAACCTACCTTTCTACTATTTTGCTACCTGGCAACCCGGTCCTTAAGTCTGCCTAAGCATATCAGTCTTTGCTCAAACCGCTATGAACAAGTAGAATATTATCTTACATATAGCTAAATGACTGTTAGTCGAACTGTAAATAGTAGTTTTTTATTTATATTAAGTGAATATAAAGTACACGTGTACTTGTTAAGGTGGATTATTCGGGAATGTTAGCAATAATGATTGGTCGAACGCTTAGGGTATTACTTTCATAGACTTCTGGTAAAGGCGTAAGTTTTACGAGATACCTGTTAATTGAGTTACCATAGATTAAGATGGTGCCATAGTGATGGTGATTTTTTGAACTGTCTAAAACATGTGAATAGATAAACTTTAATTTTCAATGCGCATATTTTATAAAACGCTCAAAGTGTACTTAAATAATTTAAATTTGCCACTTTTTCAGTTTGTGTCTAAGCAGTAATCTAAAACTTATGCATAGGAAGTAATGCTACTTAAAAATATACTGCTTCATATATGTGAAATATGAAAAAGTGGATGCTTGTTTTTTTTATATTTGACCGAATAAACACCGATACTGGCAAAAAAAAGTATTGCCAGTAAATAAAAACATTTATTGTTATTTTGGTAAGAATAAATGAGAAGAATTGAATTGATTTTACGCCATCTATTAAGAACTTTGAAATCTTGTTTTATTTATTTGGAACAATGAAATTGTCACTATTGGTCATGTCTTTTTTTTATTTTATATGTTCAGGACCGTATGATAAGCTTAATCAATATATTTTATTAATACTTAATATGAAATTTAGCAATAATCAATGACGGCTCAATTGAAGTGACAGCTTTAATATTGCAATAATTATGTTAAAAAAATCACAATTTATTTATCTAAAATATTGAATAAAGCATACGGTTTTGGGCATGTCTTATTATCTAATTTAATTATGTACAGTAAGTAAGGGCATGTGTTTCTTGGATGTAGTAATCTGTCTTTAATTTTAAGTAATCATCATGTTAATTAGATAGAGATATAAGTATACGCTATCCTTGTCGTAATAGCATGGTGCGTAATGACACTATTTACTAAGATCTAGATTTTACTAAACGAATCACGTGAATTCTTTATAACTTTTGATGACTTAACCAGGTTATCATTTCAGCAACTTATTTTTTTTATAATATTATAAAATCGTATGTAGTTAATATTGAAAATTAAAATTTAAGTATAATAAATATTATTATTGCTGGGCAAATAAAATATATATTTCAAATTATCGTTGAAGTCATTTAATAATTATAATTTATCATTATTTAGAAACACATTTATTTTCGATTATCGATGTAAGTATTTATTGGAATTGTTTATTTTTTATTTCAAAATAAAACATAAAATTTAAATATATATGAATTCACGTTTGTACATGTGTGTAGTTATAAAAGTGTCAGACTGTGATTATTTTTGCTAACATTGACATATTTTTATAATAAAATGACAATTATACGATAATACTTGTACCAATTATGTGTTTTCATTTCTTCACACCTGGTAACATTGCTAGCAGATATTTGGATAGTAGAAATTAAATAAAATTCAGCAATAATATACTAATAATAGTAATTGGCAAGTAATACAATCGCTATTCGTTTCAAAATTTAGATCTTGAATCACTGACATATAACTCCCAATCGCCTAACAAAAGTACATTAAAAACGTCCTAGAGAACAATATATTGTTTTAAACTTTCATGGTCACTAACATTATAGTAATATAAGTTATTTACGGTATTGTTACCATGTACCTTATTTTTAGCGTTTCCGATATTTCGGCACTGTTGCATGCGCCATGATCACGGAGTAACTGTTCTAGTCTGTAGACACGTGGTAACAATCCCTTAAATAACTTATATTACTATAGTCCTAGAGAACAGTAACACATGCGGTCAAATTAACACGTAATATAATGAAATCAATCAAATTGTAAAGGAGAGAGAGAAAGTTTGATTATGGTGCGAAAGAGACACGGGGCGATATAGCAATTGAAAGTTAATAGGGAAATTTGCATTTTTTTATATTTTTGATTAGTAGTAGTAGTTTACATATCCATTATTATGGAGATGGTTGACTTTATCTACTATATAAAAATAAGTCGGGTTTTCCTTCCTGACGCTATAACTCCAGAACGCACGAACCGATTTCCACGGTTTTGCATTCGTTGGAAAGGTCTCGGGCTCCGTGAGGTTTATAGCAAAGAAAATTCAGGAAAATTTAAAAAAAAAATCGTTTTCTTTTAATCACAAAACGAAATGTTACATAAAACGAAGCTATCTGGTGGCGAAACGGAGTTCGCTGGGTTTGCTAGTATAGTATAGAAATATTCAACTTCGAAGAAATTGTATAATGTGTACAAAAAAGCTTAGAAATAACCAAGTTGCACGGGAATTTTAAATACTCGGTTTTTTGGAACACTTGGTGTGACATAATATTACTCATAGTTCATAGCAACAATACAAACAAGTTGACAGTTATGGCGTGATTACACTTGTTCGTTAGCCCGAATACGAATCGAAAAACGACTAAGTATAAATGAACAGTGTAGAGTACGAGTATTCGGGTAGTTTTTGTTTTGGTTACCCGGCACCGTCGAATGCCAATGGAATTCGGGTAAACGACTAAGTATAAATGAACGGTGCAGAATACGAGTATTCGGGTAGTTTTTGTTTTGGTTACCCGGCACAGTCGAATGCCAATGGAATTCGGGTAAACGACTAAGTGTAATTGAACGGAGTCGAGTATGAGTTTTCGGGTAGTTTTTATTTTGGTTACCCGAACCCTTTTTTTGCGTGCACCCGAATACAGGTTAACGACCACATGTAATTGAGCCATTAGAATAGAAATTAACGTGCGCACTTCGCACTCGGACTACATCTCGCTGACTTTGACATACATATATATATAAAACGTTGAGTGTTCTGAGGAGTTATTCTCCCTTATTCCACCCACCTCCTCCTTTCCTACAGAGGACCACAGGCGCTATACGTTTCCACCGGCTTACAGTGACTATTACTACACGAACAAAGAAATTTAGTGCCTCATTTCTTTGTTGCACTATTCGCAAGTGGAATTCTTTGCCCGCACTAGGTTCCCTCCTTCCTACAATTTGGGGTCCCTTAAAAGAGGATAGATAGATAGATAATGCGTTTATTTTTTTTCTTCAACATACATATACATTTACAGACAGAGTAATACAATAATAAAAAGATACAAGAAATCAGCTATGAAATATCCATATGTAAGCTGCAGAAAGCAAAAGGCCAAGGCTCGGCTAAACATTTGCCAGTTTTAAGGCAAAATACCGATTTTCAGCCATCACCTTTGAGGACAAGAGGCGTGAATTAGCATTTTTGCTGGCCGACAAGATGAGGATGGTTGGCGTGGCAGTTCATAACCCGCTAGCCGCGAAGCTAGCTGGTGCAGCAGTTATGAACAGCAGTCTTTACCAGCACTTAACATCAGATGAGGTAGAGTAATTTTCCTACATAGATATAAAAAAAGAAATTATCCATTAATGAATGAATTCTTCACATTTGATATTGTGGTTTTTTCTTCTTACGAGTACTTTTTTATGTATTTCAAACAAATCGCGTTATTTTAAACCTCACGATACGATTAGTTAATAGGATCTTATACATTGTACATCTATAAATGTTTTTATAGATATATGATAAATAAAAAAAAGCCACAAAATATTAATTAAAACCTTTATTTTTCACGATTTACAAATCACAGTTCGAGTAAAATCCAAACGAGAACTTAAAAACGAATGATTCAACAAAACTTATCACGCATATAGATTAAACAGATTGTAAAATAACATAATTTATTATTATTTATATGACTAACCGTGTTTCGTCAGAATCTCACTGAGAACTTTCTTTTTCTTCTGCCCCTTGTTGTATGTGTGCTTCTGTGTAATAATAGAAATATTATATTAATAGCGGAAGAGCAGCGATCGTGGAAGTTTAGCAACTGCCGCAATGGTCTGTCATAGGATTTGTGACCAAAAGTTAAGCTGTTGATGCATCAGTAATCATTAACACTAGTCCACACTGGAAGGCGATTTAGAGTTCTAAAGAAATATTTTTTTAATAGAGATGCAAATTCCTATGTATTTAAACTTAGAGCACAATATGACAAAGTGCCTCTCTGGACCCCAGATGGATTATTAAATTATACTAATATTATAAATGCTAAAGAGATTTGTACGCCGGGTTTCATGGTGTCGCCGACTCGAGAGGTCCCGCCCGAGTTCGAATCCAGGTGGGGGCAGATGTTTGTGTGATGAATACGAGCATTTGTTCTCCAGTCTTAGATGTTAATATATGAGTTAATATGTATTTCTATATAAATGTACTTATATATGTTTCAGTATATGTATTCTATCCGTTACCCTAGTATCTCATAACACAAGCCTTACAGTGCTTACTTTAGGGCTAGGCTAATTGGTGTTGATTTTTTTTATTATTTATTAATGCAGTGGCTGGCTTCACGCTTAACCCACTGAACCAAAAGAGACGCAATTAATTATAGATATACACACATCAAAAGTGTCTAGGGATCAAGCATTTTTATGCGGATTTCTTGAGATTGAGATGTGGCTTTGTAATAAATTTATGATTTTATAAATTTATATGGATCCTTTTTGGTGCATTTCATAATTTGAATCAGGAACTGTGAATCAAATTCGAGTAAAAGATGAAAATCAGCTGTCAATATTTTCCCTATAAAAACATACAACGCATTGAAGACATTATTAGTGCTACTGTTTCCCTACTACTGATTAAAACCAACGTTATTATGGAGCGGCGACGTCATTTAAGCAGGGAAGAAATGCTCAGAGCCGTGGGAATGATAGAAGCTGGTTCCCGGCAACGTACTGTGGCTTTAGCTCTGAATACAAGTCAGAGTGTTATCAGTCGACTTTGGACACGATACCGAAGCACTGGTACCGTGGCTGAGCGCCATGGAGGACGGTATCGCTGCACCACACGGAGACAAGACCGATACATTCAAATCTTAACTCGAAGAGCTCCAACAATAACCGCCATGATGTTAGCCGTGAGGCTTCATCACTCTTCAGGGAACTTAATTAGCGACCAAACAGTCAGAAACCGCTTGCATGAAGTGAACCTTCATTCCCGAAGACCGCTACGGGTACCACCTATAGCAATGCACAATCGTAGGATTCGATATCAATGGGCTCTTGAACACAGAAATTGGGCAGAAGAACAATGGCGTTTCGTGTGCTTTTCTGATGAGTCTCGTTTTGGTATGAGACCGGATACAAGACGTATACGACACTGGAGAACCCCTGGACGCCAACAGCGATTAAAATCCTGCCAGGAAGTCCATCCTTATAGTGGTGGAACCATCATGGTATGGGCGGGTATTTGGATCGGCGGAAGAACTGAGTTGATTTGGATCAGAGGCAACCTCAACGCTCAAATTTATGCTGAGACGATTGTATCAGACGTCATCGTTCCTCTACAAGTGCAAATCGGTCCCTCATTTCAGTTAATGCATGATAATGCACGACCGCACACCGCAAGAGTTGTAAGACAGACTCTCGCCGCAGCTAACATCAATGTCCTGCCCTGGCCTGCTCAGTCGCCAGACTTGAACCCGATTGAGCATGCATGGGATATGCTACAGAGAAGAGCTCTGCCGAATATGGAGGGTATCCAGTCGCAAGAAGACCTTTTTTTGTTGTTGCAACGAACATGGGCGGCCATTCCACAGCGTGATTTGGATGAACTCATTTTGAGTATGCCAAACCGATGTTCTTGTGTTGTTAGTGTTCGCGGTAGAAATACGGATTATTAATTGTTTAAGTTACCCAATCAAATTTTAGAGAAAACTGTTATTTCAGTCTTTTTTTCGAACTTTTGTGTTAGTGGTTCAAATGTCAAAAATCCCTTTATTAGGAAAATGGCAAATTTCTTTATTAATGCAAAGGTGACTTGGTTTATCGTTACTGTGACAAACGAAAACACTTTATTTGATGAATCCTTAAAGAAAATTTTAATTAATATCAATCAGGAGAAAAGTTATTGCAAAAATATATGTTGATCCCTAGACACTTTTGATGTGTGTATTTTGAGCCCCGGGTAAGGATATGGGATAGTTTTTATCCCAGCAATCATCCTTTAAGCCGGTGAATAGGATAATTTTCCACACAGATGTGGTACCCATTAGTATCTTAATAAATTAACGGCGACAATTCTTTTTATTTGACTTTCAGTCCAGCATTGTAAACAGGTTTGCTTATATGCTATTTGTACATGCACAGCAGTTATTTATATATTATATCTTTATCATGCTGTACAGGGAATGAAAAATAGAGACTAGCTCAAAGAAGAACGGCGAATGTAGGCCCAAATATTTTAGACGGCTTTCAATGATAAATTAAAATTTTATATAATGGGACCTACACTAAATTTTAAAATATAAGCTCGATTTTTAAAAGCTCGCATATGAAATAAAATAATTTAGGTTTCTATATCAAAACATCACATTATCCATAGCAAAAATAAAACGCGAAAACAGTGTCGTGGTTCAGTGAGTTGAAAAGTCATTTATTCAGTCTAGGCTGTTACAAGCACGTGTGAAGGTCAAGAAGCTACGCCATCGGTTCGCAAAACTACGGCGGGAGACCTTGTACTGAGAAGAACCGGCAAGAAAGTCAGCAAGGGCTGCTTTTTTCTCCCTGTATTGATATATACAGAGTCATCAAGTTGAAAAATGACTTCAGACATACTTCTGAAGTCACCTTCCATTACATTATTTAGGATATAGATATATAGTTACAATAAGTTTTATATTTAGTATATAGGAAGCGGCATTACATAGGTACCATATTACTGTTACAAAACTCACTCATACCCATCAAATAAGAAATTACAAGAAACACTATGTCCATGCATTACGATCATTTAGATAATCATTAATTTTATAATAGCCCTTATTCATAAGAGTATTCTTGATCTGAGATTTAAATTTGATTAGTGGAAGCTCAATCAGATCTTGGGGAACTTTGTTAAACAATGCAATACTACATCCCAGAAATAAACCTCTTGATTTTTGGAGTCTGAAACATGGAACGGCAAGCTTGTTCTTAAATCTCGTGTTAAAGTTATGGGATTGACTTTTTTTGCAAATGCGTCATAGTGTTTTCTTCTAGATATTATATTTTCATAAATGTATTGCGATGCCAGTGTTAAAATTAAATTTCTTTAATTTTTTCTCTAAGAGATTCTCCTGCCTTTAAATTATATATGGCGCGAACAGCTCTCTTTTGCAGTACGAAAACACTTTCTATATTAGCAGCTGAGCCCCACAACAAAAGGCCATATGACATAACGCTAAGAAAGTAACCAAAGTAAACCAATCTTGCCGTTTCCACATCAGTTAGGAGTCTTATTTATTTAACAGCGAAAGCCGCAGAGCTCAGTCTACTTGATAAGGCATCAATATGAGGATCCCATTGCAGATGCGAGTCTAAAGTAATACCCAGAAACTTTGTAGAATCCACTAACTCTACAGGCTGGTCATTTATTTTTATACTAGTATTAACCTGCCTCACATAAGTTGGGTAAACTTAACGCATTTTGTTTTACTGGAGTTAAGTTTTAAATTATTTACCGTAAACCAGTGAAGGATTTCAGAGGGAGCACAATTTACTTCGTCATAACAATCATTTCCTCTTCTAGCTTTAAACAATAAAGAGGTGTCATCAGCAAATAGTACTGTCTCACACAAATCTCTTGTAAAGTGAGGAAGGTCATAAAATATAAATAAGGAAAAGCAATGGGCCCAATATTGAAACCTGGGGCACGCCCATAGGAATAGGTGCTCCTGTAGACTCAGCTTCATTTATAACTACTTTCTGAATCCTAGCAGAAAGATAAGACTGTATCAGACTTAGTGAAATATTTGATACACCATAATGCTTCGTTTTATTTAACAATGTTTCATGGCTAACGCAGTCAAACGCCTTAGATAAATCGCAAAAAATGCCAATAGCATCGTGCTTACTCTCCCATATATCAAAAATGTGTTTGAGAAGTGCAGTTTCAGCATCAGTAGTACTTTTGCCTCTAGTGAAACCAAACTGTTTTAAATGAAGTAGCTTATTTATAGAAAAGTGTGCTAGTAATTGGTTATAAATTAATTTCTCAAATACTTTACTTAGCGCTGGTAATACAGAAATAGGCCTAAAATTGCTGGGATCTGATTTATCACCGGCCTTAAAGAGAGGGATAACTTTAGCACATTTCATTAGATCTAGAAACAATCCCTCATCAATACATTTGTTAAATATAATGGCCAGTTGTGGCGCAATGACAGTGATAATCGGTTTTATTATATATATTGATATTCCCAAAAATCCTCTGTCTTTTTAATATTAATAGAATTAAATGTTTTTATAACACAATCACTACTGACATGTCTAAAATGAAAATCATTACTGCACTTATCAACACTTGACTCAAGGAGGGTCATTGCTAACCTAGAACAAGAATTAAGATTTCTAGTTGATCCAAACGATGCACTAGAAAAGAAATTTTCAAAAGTGTTGGCAACGGCATCATCTGTCCGAATAATCTTGTTGTCTATTTTTAAAGAATTTGTGTGTTCATTTAATTTATTTCTTCCAGTTTCATTATTAATTATATTCCAAGTTGTCTTTATTTTATTATCTGATAGACTAATTTTTTTTGATAAATATTTAGCTTTCGCTATGGCACACACCTTTTTAAAAGTTTTTGAGTAGTTTTTGACATATTCTACAAACTTAGGACCAGATGAGGTTGCTTTGAGAGCATATAATTGATACAACTTATTTCTACTTTTGTAAATACCAGGTGTGGCCCAATCACTAAAGGACAATGGCGAACTCCCATACAA